GCCCCGCGGCCAAGAGGGTCGGGTGGGACTCCGGGCCGCGGCCGGTAGTGGGTAAGCCCCGGGGGGGCGGGGGGAGGCGGGGCGCGGTAGGGTGCGGGGGCCTCCTGGCACCAACCCCCGTCTCCAAGTCCTGCGAGGGACTTGAAGCTCGAGTCCTCAGGTAGAGCGAGCACGCGACCAAATGTTGTGCCCATTGACTCAGTCTAAGCAGTGAGTATGTGGTGATTGATACGCTGCACTGCCTCAGCCTTCTTGTCTGTTTGAAAATATTCATAATCAAGTTGGAAGAAATTAGAAGGGAAAGGAAACGTTAGGCCAAAAGTAAGAGAAGTACTTGAAAATGAACACAGGGCAAACAGAGTAACACAGTTATCTAGCCAGAGTCTTTTTTTCTCTGGCCGAGGCGTGAAGACTTGATCCTTTAGGAAAGATTAAAAGAATTGAAGAGGAAAGCACTTCCCCCAGGTGGCACAAAGCTGTTGACCACCTGGCTGTGGTGTGTTTACTGTCCACTGCCCCACTTTGGGACCTGCTGGCCTGACGACCTGTTGTCGACTCTCAGGTGCCGCTGTTCTGTAATCAGCGTGGAGCCCAGGCCATGGTGCCTGGCTCCCACCCCAGCCATGGATGAGGTCACCTTCACAAGTGACACCGTGCTCTCCGATGTCCACCTCTGCACCCCCAACCAGAGACACCTCATGGTGCGGCTGAACAGCGTGGGGCAGCCCGGTAAGGTCCTGGTGGGTGTGGAGGGACCCAGCACCCTGTGGATCCCATTTTGTTTTCTCATACTCACATTTGGGGTAAAAGATTGGGAAGACTGGATTAACTGTTAACATCACACCACTTCTTAAGTGCCTTTGTTTTTTTGAGTAAACTGTGCTCTACTCAGCACCTGCTGGGGGTGCCAGGGCCAAGACTTGATGCTGGAAATGCAAAAGTGAATGGGCTGACCTCTGCCTCAGGGAGCCTGAACTCCAACAGGGAGAGAAGGCACCAGGTCTCCGTCTGCGCATTGCCCTTCATCCCCTTCTCCCAACCCCAGTCCAGTACCCTTCATCCCTGGCTGGCTGCCTCCATCTCCTCCCACCAGGCCCCCCTGGCTTTTCCCCTGAACTCTCCCCCAATCTCCCCAGAAGCCAAGGGGATCTCTTGAAAATGCAGATCATATCGCTGCCCTGATTGAGAGCCTTCAGTGGCTTCCCCTTGCTCTTAGAGTAAAAGCAGGCTCCTCAGCTTGGCCTGCAAGGCCCAGCTCACCCAAGGCCTTGCCTGTGTGTCCACACTTATTTCCCTCTCCCTTACCGCTCTGTGGCCACTTTCGGCTCCTTTCTGCCCCTTAGACACTGCACATACCTTCCTCCCTCAGTACCTTTGCTTTTCCTGTTCACTCTGCCCAGAACATTCTTTACTCTTAGCCCTGGCTTCTCAGATGTCACGTCAGACTGCCCTCCCTGGCTACCCTCCCCAGCTCCAGTCACCATGTATTAGCTTGTTATTCTGGTGTGACTAATAACTTCCCCCTCCCCCGTGTCTCAATTTGGATTCCTGGATTCGGGAAACTGAGTCTCCGAACAGATAAGTGACTTGTTCGGGGTCAGGCACCCTGGGGAGGTAGAAGACTCCAGCCTAGGACTGTCCACTCAAGTCCTTGCACTCCTGCCTCCAACCCGCCTCTCCTGGCACACATATTCTTACTGAAACTTGTCCCAGTGACTTTCTGGCCACCAGATGGTGACCGACACTTGGTATCCTTGTCCTGTCCTCCAGACCTTAAGTGGAAGAGTGTAGTGAGAAGGGCATCAGCTTAGGAGTCGAGCAGACTAGGCATATGTATTGCCTCAGCCTCGGCCACCTTCAAAGCTGTGTGCCCTTGTCAGCTCACTTAACTTCTAAGCCTCAGTTTTCATGTCTCTTAGATGAAGCCATTATTGCTATCTTCATAGTGATGTGAGGATTAAGTGAGATAATGTGGCCTGAGTGTCTACATTGTAGATGCTCTTCAAATAATAGCTGCCCTGAGTGGTGGTTGTGGCTCCTTTGGTGGCCCCAGTATCATGGCTGAGTCAGACGGGGCTGGCATTAGTGTGTCTCCACCTGGCCTTTAAAACTCTTTCCAGAAATCAAGTTTGCTGAAAGAAGAGGAAGGGAGAAAGAAGAAAGCTGGAAACATTCTTCTTTCGTGTTTTGTCTTTTGTGTTTTGTCTTTCAGTTTTTCTGTCCCAGTTCAAATTTGCATGGAACCAAGACTCTCAGATAGACTCAGGGACTGAGGATGTTGATCACAGAAATGTTCCCACAGAGGAGACTCCTGCTGGGACAAGCAGCACCGGGTCCCCTCCTGGGAGTGGCCACAGCAGTGTGGGTTTTTCCTCAAAGGCCAGTGCTGACACCATTGGCCAAGACAGGGCGGGAGCTCAGCTGGATGAAGATGGGGATTTGGACGTCGTAAGAAGACCACGAGCTGCCTCTGACCCCAATCCTCCGTGGCCTCCGAGAGACAAGGTACATCCCATGATTCTAACGCAGGAAGAAGAGGACGTCCTGGGAGACGAAGCACCGGATTGCAGCTTTCATGATACCATCAGAATAGGTAAATAAACCTTGCTTGTCTGCCACCAGGGCAGCACCACAGTGATGATCAGATCACATGTCTGAGCGTTGGCTCTGTGCTCAGGCCCCACCCAGGGTATCATAGCCATTAGCCATCACCTCCAGGAAGCCTTGCTGCTGCTGCCTCCTGCATTCATGTTCTGACCCAGCTTGGCATGCTGGCAGTGTGGGTCAGGGGTAGAGGGTATGGAACACTCAGCTAGCCTGGCCAGGCTGGAGCTAGAATGTGGCAGAGGGGCAGGGAGGTAGATCCAGAATTAATCTGGAGGAGTCTTGTGGGCCAATCAGATGGACCCCGAGTGGGGAGCTAGGAACCAGGTGGGGAAGGAGAGGTGACAGAGCAGCAAGAGAAGTGGGGTTGGAAAGAGGCTTCAGCAGATGCGGTCAAGAGCGTCCACCACCCAGGCATAGGGGTGGAGCAGAGGGCTTTGGTGACACCAGGACTTTAAGTCTCTGGAAATACCAAGAGTGAAAAGGATCCGGGACAGGAAGTGAGCCAGTGCTGGTTAAACACGTGGTGTCTGATATTTTTACCTATGTCACCTCATGTAGTCCTCACAGCCCGCTCTGAGGGGGAGTACAGATGTGATCTGTCTCCATAGCCAGGACTCTTGCCACCCCCAGCACTGCTCATTTTGGAGAGAGGAGCACTGGTCTGAGTCTGTTCATTGAGATCTAGGGTCCTTGATGGTGCTTGAGGACCCAAGTAAACCCAGGCACTGGCCTGGGTTGGGTTGGGAGCCATTGGGGGACTCTTAAAAACAGACAGACAGAATAGCAGCTCTGATGTCCGCCTGCCCTGCTGTTCAGCAGACAGTTACTGAGTGCCTGCTGGTACCAGGAAGGCTGTGTTCTAGACCACTCCAGTGGGACACTTGGTATCCTTGTCCCGCTGGTCCCAGCAAGTCCCAGACATGGAATTCATACTAGAACCTTGTTCTTTGTGTTCCATGGATCCTTGGTCCTCACAACTTTTCCAAGGATGAATATTTCCATTTCGCAGAGGAAGAATCTGAGGCTCAGAGACATAGAGAAACTTGTCCGAACCATGATTCATACCCAAGTCTGTCTGTCACACCACAGCCCAAGTTCTTACCCACATCATGGGATGAGAACACTGCAAATTTCTGTCCTGGGGGCGGGGTGTGGTCAATGGTGGCTCATTTTGCTCTTAATCTTCACTTGGGCCTGAGGAGGGTAGGGACAGGCTTGGTTATTTCATGAGTGTTCGACCTCTGATGTGCATGTGTTAATGTTAGGGGGATTGACCGTCCTGCAAGCTAAAAATAAAGTCCCATGGGAGAAGGCTGGTGTGTGGCCTGCTGCCCACCCACCCATTTCCCTGTCCCCCAGTGCCCCAGAGTTCACCCTTTCAGCTCACTGTCGTTCTGTTCCTACCTGCTCTGAGGGTGGAGAGTGGAAAGGTAATCAAGTGCTTGAATTTAAGCCATACTCCTAATTATTTCATCTGCTGCCGGAGCACCTTCATCTGTAAAATGTGACGTAGAGGTCGGAGTCTGGGACTCTGGTATCCTGCAGAGCTGGGTTTTGAACTGACCTCTACCCCTCACAAGCCAGGTGACCTTGGGCAAATGTCTTGCCCACCCAGAGCCTCAGTTTTTGCACCTGTGAAATGGGGTCAGGGATACTGCTATCCCCAGCATTGGTGATAATTTAATAAATGATGCCCAGAAAGTGCCTACTCAGGGGCCTGGCACAGGGCAGATGCTAAATAAATGCCCCTCTCTTGACCATCTTTTTTTTTTCCAGGTTATGGGGCCCATTTGAGAAACTGATTTTTTTTTAAAAAAACTAAAACTTCCCTGGAGGAGGAGTATGTGTTTTCCATACTTTTCCAAAGGATTGTCAGACACCTAACAGGTTTATCCATAGACTTGCTAGGAAGCCACACACCCAAGGTTCAAAGTAAATTATGATCAATTTTCCTCATTTTATAGGTAAAGGAACTGAGACCCAAAGAGAACTCTGAAGAGGCAGGGTTGGAACTCAGGCTGTTGGGCTCTGAATGCCTTTTCCACTGGCTGTGTGAAGTGGGCGAGTCCCTCAACTTCTCAGAGCTCAGTTTCTTAGTTTATAAAATGGGTATAACCTCCTCTCGTTGTGAGGAACTGAGTAGGGGACATGGCGTGTGTAAAGCTCTTATCAAAGTGCCTCGCACATAGTAGGTGTTCAATAAACATGAGACAATGTCAGCTTTAATTCCTGGGAACTGATTTGCGTGGGAAGAAGGGAGACTGGCTGAAGAGTCTAGTTTCCTGCAGATCTAGACACTACCCTCATAGTGGCAGGATATAGATCATATTCTAAAACAGTTTGTCTCACCCATTTGCTAACCCCCTAGGTTCTCATGGGTGTGTTCATCAGGCTGGGCTTTTATGTTCTTATGATGCCACTGGAATTACTTAAATATAAACTGTTACTTTCTACTGGGGCAGGAGCATTGCCCCGTCTCGCCCCCCAGTTATGGAGGTCATTAAGCCCTATGAATGAAGTAAGTGATGGTGAGCAAACTGTGCCTCTGGCTCTGAGGAGTTCAGTGACTCAGGTCACCCAGCTAGAATGTGACAAAACCTGTTCCCACGCAGGTCTGTCTGAGTTCTGCCCACATTCTCTCTAAAGGGAACCCAATCAACCCCTTGAATACAGCTGGGAGGCAAAACTTATGTCCACAAAACCCCTTGGAGAAAATGACCAAGTGTTACTGAGATCCTGGTGGTAGGTGCCCCTGGGGTCTGGGAGCAGAAGGCACCGAGGAGGCTGGGCCAGGCAGACGGGAAGGAGAGGATAGAAGATGGTAGGACACCCACATGAGAGAGACACCAGCCACACTAGGGGCTGCAAGTCTGGGGAAGATGGATGGGGCAGGGGTGGGGGCAGCTGACACTGAGGGTGTGGAGCAGGGCTGTAAAAGCAAGGACCCCAGGAGGCCCCTTTACCTACTCCCCACTCCCAATACACACACAAGCCTACGGCCTGCCAGGTGAGTCCCTGTGTTCTAAACCATAGCCCTAGGCACCCGTTCAGGGCCTCCCCTACTTTAAGAGGGACATCTCTCCCTTGAGGGGGGGAAGGCAGGCAAATAGCAGGCAGCCTAACTTAGGTCCCAGGTCTGCTACTTGCCGGCCCTGTGCCCTAGGGCAGCCCGCTGCACTTCCCCAGCCTCACGTTCTTCATTAAGCTGGCACTTGAACCTGTTTCATTGGGTGGTTTTGAGGATTAAATGAAATCTTACATGCAAAGCACTTAGCACAGTGCCTGACTTGGAGAAGGTGCACTTTTCCCATAACTTTTACAAGCATAATGCCAAGCCTCAATCAGTCTCAGTGTCTTTATAAATGGAGTGGTGATTACTGCACAGCGCCGTAGTGAGGATCACGTAAAATCCCCATGTCCCTACCCCAGGCCTGGCTCAAGGGAAGTGTCTGTCCAGGAAGTGTTCTGTGAGGGGGCTTAGTGTCAGTGTTTCGGTGGACATGACTTTTGTTCCAGTTTGAAGCCAAGTGGGTACATGTGAGGCTTTAGTGATCTGAAGTCCTTCAGAAAGCATGTTTTACTAAAACATGAAAGCATGCTTTGACACCAAACCAGTGTCAAATTCAGCCAAGATGCTGACAGGCAATGCATCAATCACCTTTACTCAGGCAGAAATTTCTGCTCAGATTTGTTCAGGAGAAACCCTCAGAGCAGTGGCCTGGGTGTCCAGGAGGACTGCACGCAGCCAGTGCCTCACCTGTCTCGGGCTGCTTCAGTTGAACACCAGACAGAGCAGTTGGCTTATGTCCTGGACCCCAGTTGTACAAATAGCACTCATCTGTACACATGGTAGCACCCTTGCCAAAGTGAGATGCTCATACCTTGAGTGCTCAAGGAGACCAAAAACAAACAAGGGACGTGCAGGTTCCCCACCTCGCCTCCTAAGGCAGACCCTCATGCTCCTTCCAATCTGGCTGTCTCCTCCTCCTCTCCTTGAGTCTTTTGGTCCTGCCTCCTGTTTTGTTGTGAGCTGTGGTTTGATTCTTGCATGTCCAGTAAGTGTCCGAAGCTACCCTGCTGTGCATGTGTTGCATGTTTAATAGCCATCGCAATCTCACTTAAAAATATAAGAGCCAGTTCTTATTTAACTGGGAAAATGTTTGCCATCATTCCTTTTTCTCCTTGGTCTCATATTTCTATTCTTGTCCCCCAACTGCCACTACCAGATTTCATCCTAACATATTTTGTGCTTGAGAATACTTCTTATATACTTCTCTTCATCCAGAAAAGGATCTACAACTCAAAACTTATTTTGTCAACTTCTCTTGTGGTCCTAAGTGTAAGAAGATATTGTGGGGTGAGTTGTGATTATTAAAAGCATACACTTGGTCAGAACAACATAAATGTGACAATTTTAGTAAACAGTTATTAAACATAAAGAGTAGAGTGTGGGTGTGCTTGTATGATTAGGTTGAGCCAAGACCTATTGTGACCCTGATCTCCAGACTGTGGGGCAGAGAGATCCAGCTATCTGAGAGGGAGCCCCAGTGCCTGGTCTGTGAGTGATGCTCAAATGTCCCCTGCCAGCTGGTGGCACGACCTGTGTTTCTGCTGCTCTTCGGATGCCCAACCCCAGTGCCATCCCACCGCATTTGCAGATTGTCGTGCCTCTCATCTGTCTGTGTTATGTCCATCCCCATTTTCACAGTGGCCCTTTCTCTTTTGATTTCCATCCCATCCAGAACACACCATGGCCACGCCCCTGGAGGATGTTGGCAAGCAGGTGGGTAGGTCCCATCCACTTCCCATGGCCCTAAAAGGTCTCTCCAGAGCCTCATGTCACCTGTCGTTCCTTGTCCGTCTCCCTCCAGGTGTGGCGGGGTGCCCTGTTCCTGGCTGACTACATCCTATTCCAGTGGGACCTCTTCCAGGGACGCACCGTGCTGGAGCTTGGGGCAGGCACGGGGTTCGCCAGCATCGTTGCAGCCAGCGTGGCGCAGACCGTGTATTGTACAGGTAACACCACCATCTCAGCCTTAGGGGAAGTCGCCTCTTCACAAAACGTGCTGACTAAAAAAGTGAGACAGAAATGTAGATGGGACGTTGTCTGCTACTGATTTTGGCATCCTGTTCCGTGGTTTTCTCCACCCTGCCTTGTTTTCTCAGTAATGTCAGAATGACCCAGCAACACCCAGTCCTTGGCAGCTGCTGTTCTGCTTCATTCAGAAGGTGCTGGCGGCTCAGCTAGTACCTCTGATCACACCCCCATGAAAGAGCAATCCTCTCAAAAAACCATGAAGAATGTGCTTTTTATTAGGCTTAAGAAATAAGCTTGTTATATTTTCCCCAATTATAGAAACCTTGCTTACTCTTAATGGAAAACTTGTGGAGAACAGCAAATAAAAATTAGTCATAATTTTAGAATCCCCAGGTTCAGTCTTCCAGGTGCAGTTTATTGAGCACCTACTGTGTGCTAGCCATGGTTCTAGATGCAGGAGATCCAGGAGTGAATAAAACAGATCAGGTTGCTGTCTTTGGAGTGCAAATGTTTTAGAATCTATCTCTTAACTATATATTTCTTTTATAATCTTTTTTCTTTTCCTTTGTGTGTATATAGTCCCAAACAATAGCTGCACTCAAACTATATATATTCAGTACTGTATCCTCCAAAAGTATTGAAAAACATTCTTAAGAGAATTTTCTCATGTCGTTAAAAATTATTTGTAAATAGGATTTTAATGAGCAGGTAATGTTTTATCTTTTTTCTTTTTCTTTCATTTCTTACCATTTTCCTTTTACTGGGCATTTTGGTTGTTCCCACGATCTTTTTGTTTGTTTTGCATTTGTCACTTGCAGTGCAATGAACACCTTTGTTCCTTGTTAGACTAGATTCCTAGAAGTGAGGGTGACCTTTCTTAGGCTTTTGATACGTATTGCCAACTGACTTCTTTTTTTATTTTTAATTTTGAAATAACATTAGACTCACACAGAAGTTGCTAAAATATTACAGAAAGTGCCACATTACCCTTCACCAGCTTCCTTCAATAATAACATCCTACATAACCATAGTTGATGAAAACCAGGAAATGGACATGAGCATGGTACTATTAGCCAAACTGCAGACTTGCCGACATGCTTTTATAGGAAGAGTGTTAATGGTTTATAAGAGAGTATCAGCTCACCAGGTAAGTATTATTATTATATTTTAAGTCTTTAACATCTACTAGTTGAAAATGGTGTCTGCTGAGGTGGTTTGCATTTCGTTGGTTCCTAGTTCATGTTTTCATGGGCTACATCTCTTGCTCCTGAGATAGGAAAGGGGAAGGTAGGGATTACCTGTGATTTGGGCATACTTTTCAGATACCCTGAGTTAGCCACTGTCAGGAGTCTGCAGGCAGCCACCCTATTTGATGGTCCTTGACAATTTCATGGAGATTGCCAGTGAGCACTTCTCAGAGTCAAGCCAAAATGCAACACCCAAGAGCTGTGTTCTGTGCCTAGTACCTACTAGGATGTGATCAAGCTGTCTTTTCCTCGAGAGGGATTTACCGGCATGTACTTGGATGGCATGTTAGTCAGTAAAGCCTTTCAGGTATATCAGGATCTGCTTGTAGTTTCAGAGAGGTCCTGGGCAGTTCCCAGGGAGCATGTTACCATCCCTTTGTCCAAATGGGCAGACTGAGGCTTAGGTCAAGGGCTGGCCAAGGTCATATGCAATAAGGGGTGGGGGAACAGCCCCAGGGTCCAGGTCTTCCACTCCATCAACCAGAGCTGCCCCTCTCTTACCTGTTTCGCATGTGAGAATCCCACACAGGATCTGTTTTGACAAAAACTATCATAGAGGCTTAAAAACTTCTGAACCAGTTGTGTGCTGTCAGGCACACACCAATATTCTCTTCACCCAGTGGCCCAGGAGAAGGGACGGGCATGTACCCTCAGAGAGCTGGGAGCTCTCCCCTTTATCAGGCTCTGCCTGGTTCCTGGGATGGAGACAGTAGTCTGATCCCCAGGGAGTCTGCAGTGGGTGGGACGGGGGCATCACAGCTACAGTGGCCAAGCAGACATCATTAGCAAGACTCTCTGTACCCTTCACACATACGTTCTCCTAATTGAAAAGTAATTTTTTGGCAAAGTGCTGCCGCTCCTCCCCCCCATGCCACCCCCAGCAAGGATTCACTGTACTGTGACCCAGTCCTGCTGAAATGATAGGAAACCCCACGTGGTCAGAGTAGCAGGTAGGTGGGTAAATCAGGCACAGGGGAGCTGCCTCCAGCCTGTTTGAATCTGCTCTGCTTACCCATTAATCATATCTGAACACTCTTCTGACACTGCTCAGTTTTCTGGGGTGTCAAAGAGCGAGCCTAGACTTGGAGTCAGAGACACCGAGGTTCACATCCTAGCCCTTGCTCTTACTAGTGACATGACATGACCCAGGTCTCTTCATCTGTGAGATGGGAACCAAGATGCCAGCTCATGGGTTGTTAGAAACTCTGGGTGGTCTATGGAAGGTGCCGTGCAGGTTTCATAAACACAAAAACTAGAAAAGGGGAGCTCTCACCCTTCCCTGTGGTCTGCACAGTCTGTCTCCACCAGGATGATCATCTCTTATTAAAGAAAAGTTCATTAAAAAGAGCCTTAGGCAGTAAAACCCACAGGAGACACTGTAGACTCAGTTTTGCACTTTTCTGTAGTCGGGCTATTGATACCAGCTCTCTCCAGGCAAAAACACGGAGATCAAAGTGTAATGGCTGGCACTTTATGGCATGCCCTTCTGTTATTGCAGATGTCGGTGAAGATCTCTTGGCCATGTGCCAGCGAAACATTGCCCTCAACAGCCACCTGACTGCCTCTAGAGGTGAGGCCCAGCAGGTCTTCTGCCTGGGAGGGAGGTGTCTGTTTGGCAAGTGAGACAAACACCCAGGACTGTGACCCTGGGAGGGGGGGTTCCACCTGCTTCCCTCTACACCCAGGTGAATGCAGGGAGCAGACATAGTCTTAGCTTCACGTAGATTCAGATCCTAGATGACTGTTCCTATGTCATCTCCTTCCCATGCCCACCACCACATCCTGCTTCAGCCCTCTCCCTCCTGGACCTCATCACCCCAGCTCCTTGTCTGACCCACCCAGGCTGCCCTCCATTAGCATCCAGAGTGGCCTTCCTAGATGAAGCCTGACCTCTTCAAAGGGTAAAGTCCAAGCTCTTCCTCTGGCTCCCAAACCTCCTTGTCTGGCCCCTGCCTGCTTCTACCTTGTTTCCTGGTAGTCCCGCCCCACCCCTGCATTCAGTGAGCTGAGGACTCATTTCATATGCTCCTCCCTCTGTCAGAATGTCACCCCCACCCCTCCATCTGCCTGTTTGGCAGGCTGTGCACCACCTGTAGGAAAAAGCTTGCATGATACACAGCCAACTGCTCACTGGACTGCGTGTGCAGACCTTCCTCCTCTGAGCAGCGTGGGGTGCTTTTCCAGGTTCAGATCATGTCATTCCAGCTACTGGATCTTTTACAGGCTTCCTGTTGCTGTCTACAGACTGAATTCCTTTGCTTATCTGAGATCCTACAGGATCTGGCCCTGCCTGTCTGTAGCCCCTCCCACACAGTGGTTCCTCCATCCCAGCTATCCTAGCCTTGTTGGAGGTTCCCCTCCCCTTGGGGTCTGTGCACTTGCTGTTCCCTCTGCCTGGAACAGTCTTCTCTCCTTCTTCCTCCGGTTCCTAATTATGCTCAGGTCTCCAGAGCTCCAGATGAGGTCACAGCCCCCTAGCAGACACTCATGACACCTTGAACCATTGCATTTGACCTTTGTTGATGCGAGTAGGTGATTGATGCCTACCATCCCATTAGACCACATGCCTATGAAGACAGGGGCCCTGTCTGTGCTCTCCACTGCTCTGTTGTTTGTTGAGTGCCTGGTGTGCAGTAACCAGTCAACAGGACTGGAAGGAGGAAGCAGGCGTGAATCGCCTTCTCTGAGCCTTCCCTGACACCATCTAACACGAGAGCTCCTCTTTCCTTCTACGCACCTGTCACATCTTTTTTACATTGCCCTGACCATCTGCCTTGTCTGTGTCTGCTAACTTGCCAGTCTCTCAGCTGCAGATCCCCAAGGACGGGCACATGTCTCATAAATCTGTGTATTTTCTGTGTCTGGCATAGGACCTAACACTTAGCACTCAAACAATGATGGATGGATGGATGGATGGATGGATGGATGGATGGATGGATGGATGGGTTGATGGATTTTGGTGTACAGTGTAGAAAGTTTTTTTCCTGATTGTTTATAGAGTTTGGGAAGTTCTGTTTGTTTATGTTTTTACAGGCAGTGTCATTAAGGTCAGAGAACTGGACTGGCTCAAAGATGACCTCTGCACAGGTGTGTGTCTTCCTCTCATGTCCCATTTTATTTGGTGGTTCCTAGTAATATCTCAAGGCTGACAGCCTGTGGCCTTGACTGACAGCAGAATCCTGACTGCTGCCACGGTCTGCAGCTCACAGCAAGTTCCCTTCATTGGCTGAAAGTGGCAGGTGTCATTCTTGGGCATCTTCCATTCATGTTATTCAGGCCTCACAGTGTCACTGTGCAGCAGGTGCGATGGCCCTTGAATAATGAGCGGAGACTGATGCTCAGGGAGTCGCACAGCTGGTACCTGCAGGGTCGGGGTGTGAGCCCAGGTCTCAGTCTCCAGGGCTTTGACACTCTGTGAGTAGTGGGGCTGAGGCAGCAGCCTCCCACTGGGCACCCTGTCCTCTGCCCGCAACAGGGAGTCAGCACATGGCTTCAGGGGCCCGGGTGGGTTTTCTAAATTTCTTACACTGATTGTTTTCAGACGTGTATGCTTGCTCCTTCTTTGTGTGAAAACTTCTTGTCCCTGAAAGCCATCAGTTGGGGAGAATCATTGCTTGTTGAGTACCTGTCACCTACCAAGTACATAGCATACCTTAGGTCTTGTCACCCCCCAGCCATCTTCTGAGGGAACCATCTAATGTGGAACCTGAAACCCACAGAGGTGAAGCTCCTTTCTCGGGGTTGCACAGTAAGCACAGGGGTCAGGAGCCAGGGACACAGTATAGGTCACATTCTGCACAGGCTACAGGCAAGGCAAAGGTTAAGACCAGAGTCTGCCTACCCCTCTTTGCCCCCCTCTTGTGGAAAGGGTACCTCTTTCACTGTGGGTCCCACTTGGGCAGCCGTGTCCCTGAAGCTAGGGTGCTGGGATTCAGCGCTGCTTGGCAGTGCCTACTGTACTGAGTGGTGCCCAACCCCATTTCTTCTGAAGCCTCTTTCAGTTCGTCTCTCAGAGAGAGTTGGTGACCCACAGAAAAGGAGGGAGCACAAAACACCCTTTCTTCCCCTTTCACAGATCCTAAGGTCCCCTTCAGCTGGTCAGAGGAGGACATCTCTGACCTCTACAGCCACACCACCATCCTGCTTGCAGCTGAAGGTGAGAACACCCTCCCCTCACACCTAGTGTCACCGTCACGCATAGCCAAGCGCAGCATCCCTACCGCTCCAGAGCTCTCTGCATTTTAGAAGCACCTCTTCGGGACATCCTGCCGCATCTCCAGGCAGCGTAAATTCTAAGACCTGCTACCACCAGGTTTATCAGGATTCGTCCATGGTGTCCTGTGGGCCCTCCAAGTAACAGATTGCTCTGGTGTTTGCATGGTTTCCCCTAATGCCTGTTCTCTTCCCCACAGTGTTCTATGATGATGACTTAACTGATGCTCTGTTTAAAACACTCTTCCGACTCACTCACAAATTGAAAAACTCCTGCACAGCCATCTTGTCTGTGGAGAAGAGGTGAGCTCTCCCCGGGGGGCCCTGCTGGCGTCCCCAGAGCCAGACTGTCACCTTCCGTATGCATCCTCGTCAGTGTCATCATTGTCACTCATTCAGTCAGCACCTGTTGTATGGCCTTCACATTCATTTAACCCACACACCAGCCCCACCTGTGTGTGGGCACTGCCATCCCCATTGCTCAGGTGAGGAGAAGAAGTCCCAGCAGCATCAGTGTACCTTCCAGGCCGACACACAGTTGGTCAGTGCATAGTCGAGGGCTTGAATGCAGGCTGCGCACTAGAGCCAAGACGTCCTCTTTCTGAACATTCCCTCTGGGCCGCCGTCTGTCTCCTAAGGTTCCCAGGCCTCTGTCCTCTCCCTGGTGCAGACACACCCCTCCAGGACCTTCCTGCTGGAATGTCCTAAAACGCTCGGGCTCCTGCTGGCCCAGTGTCCAGCTCGTGACAGGTGCAGGGTAGACACTCTGCCCAGTTTTCTGAGTCTTACAGTAGGCCATGACTTTTCTGAAGGCATTTCGGAACATGTAGCAAAGGCCATCAAACTGAACATAATGACTGACCTAGCAGTTCAGCACCTAGAAACTCAGCCTGTGGAAGCAGTCACAGCTCTGTACAGAGCCATCCACATGACATGTTTGCTGTTTATACTGACAATGTCTGGGACCTCCTTCAAGGCCCACATGACCATGACCCTCACCTGAATTCTGATTGAATTTGAGACAGTCGGGAAAAATTGAATACTGACTGGATATTTGATGGTAAAGAATTATCGTTGAATTTGTTTTAGATGAAAAGAGCCTTTATCTTTTTAAGATACATACAGACATGGTGGGAGAAATGCTGTGATGTCTGCCATTTGCTTTTTAATCTAGTGGGGGAAGGAGGGCAGAGGTGACAGTGGCCCTGAGTCAACAGTGGCTGAAGCTGGGCAGTTCATTACATTTCTTTCACTCTTTTTATATCTTTGAAATTTTTCATAATAAAACATTTTGGAAAGAAAAGGGAAAGAGACAGAGTTTGAATTTCAAGTTAAATCGAGTTGCAGACTGTGGTGAGTGGCCAGGCTGGAGATGCTCTGTGAGGACTCTGCTGTCTGAAATCACCCCTCTGAGTCTCCCACCCCACCCACTTCCCAGCAGCATTCCTCTGCCCAGCAGGTGCTCACAGGCCTCTGCACCTCCTATGCCACTGTCCTGTGTCCATTCATTGCATGATCTGTGCTGAGTGCAGGTGAGGGGCGAGCAGTCACCCACATGGAGCCCCAGCCTCAAGTATTGGTCTTTGTCCACCTCATGCGCCAAGTTGTAGCTCCTGTGGGCTGTGGTGTCACCTTGGGCACATGACCACCTCTTAGGCTCAGTGTCCACAGCTGAGGTGGTAGCCATTTCCATCTCCCAGGCTGTCCCACAGAGTCAGGCAGGCAGTGCACCCAGATTCTCAGCACACAGTAGACACTCAGTGAACATCCACCAGCAGGAAGGTGAGCTAGAGGGAACAACCAGTCTTCCCAGTAATGATGGACAGAGGGTGGGCTGCTTATTTGCAGGCTGAACTTTACCCTGAGCCACCTGGACATCACATGCCAAGCCTATGACCACTTCCGTGCCTCCCTGCACCAGCTTGAGAAGCTCCAGGATGGCCAGGTGCGCTTCGTGGTGGAGCCAGTGGAAGCCTCATTCCCGCAGAACCTCATGTATGAGCGCATCCAGCAGCTGGTAGGTGCGGCCACCGCCTCGGGGGCCACTTGCTCTGGCGTGAGCTCTGATGAGTCGGGCCAAGTGCTCTCCTTAGTGAAGCCTGTGGTGGGATCTTCCCCCCACTCTCAACAATCACCATGTCCAGGGGTGAGCCTGCCAGGTGAACCATCTACTTTATAGCATGTTCTTTCCCTGTGGGCCGTTGAGGCTCCAGTGGAAGCAGGACGGGGGTAAGGAGTTAGAAGATTGTTGGGGAAGTAGGCAGTCAGTGGGGGCACTTGGTTGGGTTGAAGATCTGATGCAGGGACTTTGGTGCTGATGGTTACATCTTCATCGGGGGAAATGTGCTACCCTTTCAGACCAGGCAGGCTTATCTGATGACCAGTGACCCTTCTGACCCTGCAATGGGATCCCATCATGTTAGACCTCTTAGTAATCACCCTGATGACAATGCCTGTGCCAGGCACTATGCTGAGCTCTTCTCATCCCCTTTCCCAGTTAATGCCATGGTAAGTCACCCAGCCAGGGAGCAGTGGAGCTGGGACTGCATCCTGTAGCCATGTGACTTCCGGTTACTGTTTTTAAACCCAGCACTTGGAGGAAATTTGAAAAGTCAAAATTACCCTTGAAAATTCTGTAAGGTTACCAGGAGCTGGATTCATAGACGTCCAGAGCTCTAGAATTCACGTCTTTGTTCTCTCTACCTCTGGCTGTGGCCTCCCTTTCTCTGGGTCTGAGGAGGAAAGGGGAGGAGGCTAACTTAGGGCCCTCTCCGTCCCACTCCTGTCCCTAAAGCACTGCATCTGTGTGGTTACTGATTGTGAGGAGGTGTGTGTGTGTTGCATGCTGTTGAGTCAGCTCTGACTTCTGGCAACTCTGAATGAGTGACGTCCCCAATGTCCTGTCCTCAACAGCCCTGCTCAGCCCTACTCATGCCTATGGCTTCTTTCATGGAGTCAGTCCATCTCCTATTTGGCCTTTTTTCCTGCTTCCTTCTATATTTCCCAGCATTACTGTCTTTTCCAAAGGACCCTGCCTCTCATGACGTCCCTGCAGTAGGACAGCTCAGTTGTGTCATTTTTGCCTCCAGCAGTGTTTCAGGCTTAATTTGCTCTAGAACCCATTTGTTCATCTTTTTGGCAGTCCATGCTATTCCGAGAGCCTTTCTCCCACACCGTGTTTCAAACGAATCCTGTCAGTCGTCTTCCCTGTCCAACTTCCCCTTCCGTTTATTGCTCCACTGCCTCTGGGCAGCCTCCCTGCCCATTAGCCTCGCTGCTTGTCAGCCTCCTGGTAGACAGCAAACAGGACATGAGGTTTCCACTAAGAACCTGGCGTGGTGTTGTGCCTTCGCCACCTGTGGCCAAGAAAGTCAGCTGCTTCTAAAATCAGCAGCCACACTACATGGCACTAAAGACCTCCCCAGATGGAGAAATTGTGGTGACTCGCTGCCATTTCCTGGTCCCTGTTGATCGTCTGACATCCTTATGCCTCCTGGACATGTGCTGGGACTTACCATCCAGCTTCTCTTCCACAGAAAGAACTGCCCAGAGCAACAGTGAAATTGGGGAGATGCCCCACTCCTGCAGTAGTTTGCATGCTGCCTCTGGCTCACATGTTGCGTGTTCTTTGCTAATTATGTCCCTTTATGAAATTGTGCAGCCTCCCTGGACATCTGGGAAATCTCGCCTTTCTCTCTTTGCTGCAGGAGCTGTGGAGAATCTTTGTGGAACCAGTGACGTGACCCCATGGTGTCTGCCAGCACAGCTCCTTGACTGTTCTTCTGATAGGTTCTAATAAAATCAGAGGTTTCCACAGTGATGGGCTCCAGATGTTAGCATTTTTAAAATGTGCCAAATGCACCTTATATGACCCAGGAAAGTTTCCTGGAGTCGGTTGCTGCTCCCAGTAGCAGCCAGAGACTGTCACTGCTCTGGCCAGAAGCCTGTTCGGTTGTGTTTTCAGGCTGCCAACTTGGAATGCATTGAGGATGTCTCAAGAGCTGCTCAGTCAAGTTGGGCAGATGTTCTCAACGTGATTCCACTCACACTTCCCTTGGGGGCAGGAGCCCAGGGCTACGCCAGTCATCTTCTCTGCTCCCCTCTGCTGGATGCTTACAAATATGTTTAATATCGTCACCACAATTACTGTAATAACACCACACAAATTGAGACGCAGAGCCTCATTTCCTTCATGGCTGGCATGCTCATCCATGTCTCTCTGGTCAGGGCCCTCTGGAAGGAGGAACCAGGAGCCAGTTGAGACTGAACTCTCCTGGCAAATGACCTCTGTTCTCTGTTTTAACCCTTTATAACCAAAATGCATGTGTCTGTCTGTCTGGTTTTCCTTTTCTCTGTGCCTCTCTCCTATTTCCACCCCTCCCTGTCACTCTACGGCCTCTCCCACTCTCTCTGCCTCTTTCTCCCTCTCCTTTCCAGTTTGGGTCCCATCTTCCCATTGCCCTTGGCTCTCCCTGCAACACCCTTTCCCCTGGTTGGCTTCTCCTTCACTTTCCTCCAGGGCCCGGCATAGCCCTCCCCACCTGCCCCTCATTTCCCAGACGTCCCACCTTCTCTCCCCTCCAGCTCTAGCTGTCCCTGCCCATGCTCACCTCTCCCCAAGCACCCAGGTCCATTTCCCAGGCCCATCATACCTGTAGTCATTGTCCTATCTGGACACCAGGGTTCAGGCAGTTGCAAGTCTCATTTCATCTTCCCAGCAACTCCAGGTCAGCAGCCTGGCTATTCCCATTTAACAGTTGGGAAGACTGAGGCTCCAAAAGGGAAAAATCTCCATAAGGTGAAGGACCTTGTTTATCTTAATAGCAATATATTCCTGGCATATGGTCTGGCTCAGACTAGGTATTCAGCACATGTTGTTGAATGAATCACAATGAATTACTGCCTGGATGGTGTCCCAGTTGCAGGCTCCAGGGGCATTTGGCCATGTTTGCAAACAGTTTTGGTTGGCACAACTTGAGGAGAGGGGTGCTACTGACCAAGGGTGCTGCTAAACAGTCTACATTGCACAGGACAGTTCCTCCCTTACAACTATGAATGACCTAGCCCCAAATGTTAATAGTGCTGAGATTGAGAAACCCTGACCTGGAATAGGAGAACTAGCTACTTAAAGGAAAGAAAAATGTGTGTGGCTGAACCTGCAGTGAAGGTGATACAAGAAAATGAATCTCACCCTTCCCCTGTGGGAGTGGGAAGGAAATCTACACACATTAGCTCTAAATCATAGACCCTAAAAGGGTCTTTGAGCGCCACTTCTGTGAGCACCATAATAAGAAATCTGAAGTTTAGAGAGGTTAAGCAACTGGTTCAACATCACACAGCTGCCAAGTGGCAGAGTCGAGCTCAGAGCCTGTGCCCGTCTGATCCCATTGCCCGTGCTCTTCCCACATTCCCACCAGCAGTGGTGGCGGTGGCATCGCCTGGAAGCTGTTAGAACCCAGCAGCCAGCCCAGACCTGAGTTGAATCTGTATTTTGACAGGACCCCAGGTAGCTTGTATGCACAGTGGTTTAGAAGCATAGTATTTGAGCTACACTTTTCCAAGGATGCTCAAAAATCATGTCTGGTAGACTTGCCATGATGGAGCCGAATCGCAGAACACAGCAGGATGTATTAATAATGAGTCTTCAAAAGAGAACCCACTAAACAGCCCTCAGCCAGCGATGTGTCAGCACTAAAGGGGACACTTTCCTAGCACTCCTGGGGACAAGCCCATAAATGTAATTGGCACTAAGCAATAGAGTTGTCACACCTTACACCTGGCGCATTAGGGCAAATGCTTTTATGTCTGAGCCCCTCGGCCTGAAGCTTCCTCTAAGTGGAGCCTGGAATTAATCTCAGCACACTGTGATTCACAGCATCCTCAAATTTTCTCTTCCAGAGTCAAAATGCGCCCTTCTCACCACTTTTTCCGGCTTTGCTTGAGCCTCTGTAAGTGCTTGTTTAGCGGTGGTATTTCAAAATCATCCAACCAGTGAGATGTTCTGGGGAATTAACCAGGCCATTGGACTCAATTCTTTTTTGACACATTCTAACATTTTCAGAGAAATATATGGCCCAAGAACAGGACTTGGTTGTGCAAGCCTGCACAGGAAAGATGTGGTAAGACCAACAAGTGATGGCGGTGCCCCTGGCCCTTCTGCGATGACTGTGCATGCAGGTCACCCATGTCTCACCAGATTGCAGATTCTGACTCAGTCCTGGGTGGGACTCAATGCTGCCATAACAAGCTCTCTGGTGGCCCTGGTACTGCTGGTCCAGCAGCCACACTGTTAAGCGAAAGGCTGTGGCGCATCACTCACTCCTGGTTAAGAGCATAACCTTGGGCTGAGCAGATGATTCAAATTCTGACTCTGCATGGAGCAGCCTGATGGCTTTGGACACAGGACCTAGCCCCTCTCGGCCTCAGCTTCCTCCTCTGTGAAATGGAGAGACCCCTTCACAGGGTTACTGTGAAGATTGTATTAGCTAATTCATGTAAGATGCACAGGGACGTTTTCAATAGATTGCAGATATTCTCCTAATAGAGTTTTCTGGTTTGGGAGCATTTTTGACATGTACACTGTGACCTGCCTGATTTATAAGGCTTGACTTCTCCCGCTAGAGAAACTGCTGAGCAATCTCTATCTACCTCTATTTAAAAAAAAAAAAGGATTCTCTGTGTATCCTGTCCTGTGGCAATAGCTGGGTGAAGAGCCAATGGGAAATGTCATGGTGAACAGCCTACCTTAAATTCCAGGCTCCATGTGACACACCAGGGTCACCTCGAGGGGTCTGGGAGCCCCTCAGAGGAACAGGCAAGGCATCTCCCACACTGCCGACCCCATGTCCAACCTGACTCCTGTGGGCTGCTGGGAGGGGATGTGCTGCCTGGGCTCAGCCTGTGAGTCCAAGTTCTTCACACGGAGTGAAGATGGACATGGGCTGCTGTGCCTGCCTGTCTGTGACACCCTCGTGTATAGGCCAGTCTGGACTCGGAGCCCTGAGCTGGCAGCAGGGCCGGCCCTACGTGGCTAATGCCAAGCATTGGTGGGAGGCTCAGCTTGCCCCATCTAGGCATCAAGTCGCCCACCCATATCTCAGCCCTCAGCGGCGGCAGCCATACGTGTCCCCAGTGGGGTCAGGGGCAGAGCAGCTGTGTGCAGGGTGCTGGTCCTCCCCGTGGGATGGCGGCTGTATGTGCCATGTTTCCTGTCCTACATCCTTCTAGAAAGCCAGTGAGTGTAGTGTTAGATTGAAGCCTACCGGGTTTTGGGGGTGACTGCCAACTCAAACCCAGTTCTGTGCCGAGCAGATAGTAATGCCTCAGGCCCTGGCAGCAGGCAGGGGTTTCAACCCTGGATTCCAGTGTGACCCAGGGAGACCCCTGACGATGCTTTTTCTCACACAGCAGCTCAGCACAGTGCCCCAGAGCAGTGTCACAGGGTCTGCTTGTCCAGTATCCATGCGTGACTTCCCAGCGACACCAGGGCGGCCAGCTGGTGATTTTTTTCAAATCCATCACTATTAAATGATACTGTGGTCTCTCTACCAACAGACTGGGGGATCAACCTGATGGTTTTGTGAATTTCAGCCTCTGTTAAGACCACTAAGGGCCATGCTGCACCAGAAGTTGGTGGGCAGGGCCAGCCCCAGATCATAGGTTTGGGTGGTGAAAAATACCTTGGGGACAGCCCCGATCTCTGTCCCCACATGGGCACCCATTTTTGTCAGACCATCTGCATTCGGTGAATAGGGTTTCTGTGCTGATAGCTAAGCATCAGTGGGATGAATGGAAAGGGCAGGAGCAGTGGAGGAAGAAACAAACCACCCTCAGTGATTCAAGGCCCAGGAAATAAACAAAGCTGACTCGAGTGCAGTGTACAAATAAACTAATAGGGAAATCTATATTGCTAGGTGCCCGGTCGAAGTGGGTCTTGAATTGATTTCCCATGGGTAGGACTTGGTGATTTTAAGTGGAAGACTTATAATGATTAAAATGTAACTTTATTCTTGAGCTGCCCTATGTAGTAAAGCCTTAATTAATGAGAACTCAATTAATTAAACCTGCTTCCCTATCAACTCCTAGGCTCAAGCCACTGGGCAGTAAGCGTGGAGCCAGAACTTGGATACAGGATCACAGCACATCAGCACCATCTCCTGAACCTAACACCTGGGCAGTGAGGAGCCACCTAACAGGTGACCTCAGTGGAGAAATTTGGAACCAAGCTCCCGTAGAATGTTCTGTGGGAGACCCTGGAGAATCAAGGTGGCAACAGACAACTCTTCGAGATACTTTACATGTGTTAATTCAGTGGATCCTCCAACACGTGTACACATGAAGTAGTATTGCCCCCATTTTATGGTTGGGTAAACTAAGGCATGAGAGCAGGCCAGGTAACGCTCCCAAGGTCACACAGGTGGTAAGGGATGGAGATAAGATTTGAACCAAAGCAGTCTGGCTCTAAACTCCAAGCACTCACCCATCAGGCTGTCCACCACTCTGAGTAGTTCCCCCACCATGGCACAGCTTATAAAGGTCAGCTCTGAGGTATGTGTATGCGTAGAAAGTTCTACACTGTACTCTTAAGCTTGGCTTAATCCGGGGGCATGGGAGTGATAAAAGACTTTACCTTTTGCACTGTATACACACATTTTGTTTTTACAACCAGCTAAGGGTGACATCCAATGTGGTGTGTGTGTGTGTGTGTATTGTATTAATTTTTGAGAGGAAGAGAGAGAGAGAGAGAATGAAAGAAACATCAAGGAGAGAGCAAAACATCGATCGGCTGCCTCCTGCATGGCCCCCACTGGGGATCATGCC